TAAAGTTTCATAGTTATTGGATGAGAATGCTGGCTTGAGAAGAGCCATGGGATTTCTAAGTCAATGAGAACATTACAAAGCACAACCCTTCACTCAATGCAGTTACAAGTAGCTCACCTCAGCTATGGATTGACTAATACCAAAAAGGGAGATGAATGGAAAAGTTAACAGGAAAGACAGAAGAGGCTTATTAATGAGAAAGAACAGGATTTTGAATATCTCAAAGGACCAAGTTGCATTCATTGATGTAGTACATTTTTTAAAATCCATATAGAAAATAGAGATAGTAGGATGGATGTTTTTATTTCAAAGTAAAAAAAAGTTTGTGTCTATTGATGTGCCTATCTGTTCTAGTATTAACCACAATATACCTTTCCCCATCCAAATTCTCACCCTACCAATTGAGGAAAATTGAGGAAATTGAGGGGACTAGGACAGCAAGGGGTTTATTGTGGGAATTGAGTGAACTACACTGATTCCGTCCTGTGACTCAATTCTGGAGCTAACTCAGTTTCATTTCTATTCAATTATAGGTCTAGTTCAATGAGAGAATGTGAGAAACTTTATTCAATTATGGGAACTAGGAAAAAACCTTATTGCATTTTTTGAACCTAGCCTTACATGGCTGGGAAACTGGAACACCTCTATCCATGGTTTAGAGACCCTTAACTAAGGACCTAGGTTATATTGACCAGAAACCTAATCAGACCCAAAGATTGATGCAATGAGTTTTCTTACAATTGTATAGCTTAAGCAACCCATATGTCTTATCTGAAAACTGGCCTTGTAGTGATCAATCAGTTACTGTTTCCATGCTCCTTTGATTGTTTACAGATACTTGGGGGAGTGGGCCACCTCCTTTTCTGAATTCAGAGAATTGTGCCTGTTTGCTGTTCCCCTCCCAACTTGGAAAGTCCCTAATCTTTCATCCAACTAGAAATTAGATTAACTAATGTTGTATTGTTTCCTTTTAATTAATTGGCCTTAATTGATTGTTTTTAATGTACAAAGGTCTGTCTACCCCAGTATTTGGGGTTCAGCTGAGGAGGTCTGGTCTCAGTTTGTTGGGCAATTGGCATGCATTGCTTTAATAAATTAATAAGCTCAGAAGATCAGACCTTAGGACCAGTCATCCTGAAATGACCTCAGTCATTTCATCTTTCACCTGCCACACAATGGAAGAGGGATGTGTCTTTTAAAAGCTGGTGAAAGAGTTGTAACCTGGCCTCCCTAGTAGCTGTTGTAAAGAATTTTACACAATCCTGAAAAGTCAAGTCAACAAGAATTATTAAACATCTGGTATTTGCCGAGCACTGTGTTAAGTATTGGTGGTTCAAAGGAAGGCAAAAGACAGTTCCTGCTCTCAAAGAGTTCATACTCTAAAGTGGGAAATAATGTGCAAATAAACATATACAGTGTATATAGAGATGTGCATATATATACACACATATATACACATTTACATAGAGATGTATATATGTATATATTTATATACATACATATACACATGTGTATTTAGATAGCTAGATATAGATGTATATATATTTACACATATACATACACACATGTGTGTTTAGGTAAATGATAGATAGATAGATAGATAGATAGATAGATAGATAGATAGATAATCAATAGAGGGAATGCAATTGAATTAAGAACAATTGATAAAGACTTCCTGTAGAGGGTGAGAACTTAGATGGGACTTCAAGAAAGCTGGTGAGGCCAGGAGAAGCAAATGAGGATGAGAATTCCAGGCATGGTGGGTGGGTGGGAATTCAGCCAGAAAAAAAAAATTCATAGAATAGGGAATTAGAGTTGATGAACAGAGAGCAATGGACAGTAATTGCTGAAATAGAAAGCAATGCATTGTGGGGAAATAAGTTGAACAGTTCAATCAGTTAAAGATAATGCAAGCTTTTGAAAATTCTCTATGCATGTGATCTTGTCACATATGCCCCCTGTTTGTGCATGTCTTCATATGGAAACACTTCCTTTATCTCCATGTGGAAATATCCCATATAAAATTCCTATGAGCTGGTATAGTGGATAAAGTGCTAGAATTGGAGTTATGTCTGCCTTTGTTATTACTGAGTATATCACCTGGCTGACTAGTGAAAAACAAAACACTTTGAAGGAAGCTTATGAGCTATGGTCTGGAAGATTCTGCCCTCCAAATTATCTAGAACCTGGGAAATGGGACACCAGAGGGCCACAAGGGGTCAACTGAAAGCTTCTTTTTTGTTTTTAAACATATGAGGGAGGTTTGGGCATTTTTGTGAGCAGTGTGGAAAAAGCCAGTGGATAAAGAGATACTGAAGATTAGAAAGAGAATGGGGATGATGAAAGAGGCAGACTACTTGAGGGTTCTTAGAAGTTTCAAGTGAGATACAAAGTTAGTAACCCATTTGTGACTTAATATAGAAGTTCTGAGGAGGTGCTTGAAGGTCAAAGAGAATAGATAACTTGCAAGTAGTTACATAGTTAGTAAGGGCCAGATTTGAACCCTGGTGTTGCAGATTCTAAGCCCAGCTCCCTGTCTGCTATACTATGTTGCCTCTAGAAATTGCTACTCATTGGATTTAATGGATCCATAGTGTTAAGAGGTAAAGGAAACTTAAAGAACATCTAGTCCAATTCATTAATTTTTACAGATAAAGCAACTGAGGATCAGGATGGCAAAGTTACAAAGGTGGTAAGTAGCAAAGTTAGGATCCCTGCTCAGGATTTGGTTTGTTACCTAATGCTTGTGTGTCTTTGGACATTAGTGTACTCATCTGTAAAATGTACAGGTGGGACAAGATGGCATAAAATGAAACATTCAGTTTCAAATCTATGGTCCTATGATATACTGACAAACCCAAAAAAAATTAATGTAAATTAAAAATGACTAATCATTTCTCATAGGCAGAGAATCACCACCCCCACCTCCACCTTGGTTGGGTAATGTTCAATCAAAAAGGTAAATGCAAACAATTTTACACAATTTTCTTTTATTAGCAATTTTCCTTTATTATTTATTACAAGTTTATTTCTTTGAAAACACATTAAAGTACAAGATAATTAAAATTATTGACTGACCTAGATTGCACAGACCATAATCTCCTTTTCAGGAGGTAGTGTGGTATAGTAGAGTAAGTATTAAACTTGGAGTCAGGAAGACCTAGGTTCCAATCACACCTCAGAAACTTACTAACCTTGTGGCCCTGGGTAAATCAGCTAAAATTTCTTAGCTTCAGTTTCCTTATCTATAAAGTCATAAGATCATTGATACAGATTTGGAAGGGCCTTCAGCACTCATGTATCAAAGAGCCCAAAAGCCTTCACTTCACAGATGAAGAAACTGAGATCCGAAGAAGTGGTCCCTTTTCCAAGGTCAGACAGACAGCGAATGGAAGACAGAGCAAGGATTGCGACCTGAGTTATTCGATTCCAGAACCAGAACCTCTTCCCTCCTCACCCTCCAAGCTGCCTCTATAGCACTTAGTCTCGAGGTTGTTGTAAGCATCAAATGAGATTAAGTGTCATGCAGATCTGGTGGATATGCAGACCCACTCGTTTTGCTCAGACCCCTATTTTATTACATGTGTAAAATAGTCCTGCAAACCTTGGAGCACCCCATAAATGTCAGTCACTATTTTAATTCCCACATTTTTATGTGCTCTTTTACTATCATGAATGGGACTAAAAATATTGTAATATGAACACATGACTTGCTATAGCGTTGGGCTCTTCTGCAAACAGCCTTGACGGGTTCCCATTACATTAAGCCAGGAGGCAATGTTTCTAGGGGAAGGTAGGTCACTAAGGCTTCATCTCAGGTTCTATAGATGTACCAACTCACTCATTTACTGACCCATTCATTGAGTTTGCAGGTTCCTTCCTCTCCTACTATGTTCAAGGCTATGGATAAAAAGATGAAAAGCAGTCCTTGCCCTCAAGGGGTTTACATTCCACAGGGTAGGAAACCACTTTCACACAGTTAAATAAGTGGAAGATCTTTTGTGGAGAATAGGAGCTCTAACACTTGGGGGCAGTGGGCGACTTATCTGTTGTTAGATTGGAGGCATTTAGCAAGTGAAAAATTTCACTCTCTCTGCTTTAAAAGAGCCTCTCAAACATAATGTTTTTCTGGCTGTTGCCTCCTGGGACATCTACTGCCACTTTTATAAGTTTGTTAAATGAATTATTTCTTTTTTGGCATTTCACCCTTAATTATGGTAATTTACCACCAGAAGAACAGCTATGCCTTGGTTATATGTCCAGAGTTGGAACAAGGCATGTGCTTTAATCCAAAAGTTTGACTCAAATCAAATGCCTTACTATTAATACCACAGACTACATTATTAATAATGATACCTGTCATTTATTTTTAGTGCTGAAGGTTTAAAAAGTGCTTTACATATACACTATTTCATTCGATCCTCAGAACAACCCTGTGAGTTAGGTTGTTGTTCAATCATATCCGATTCTCCATGACCTCATTTTGGGGTTTTCTTGGCAAAGATACTGGAGTGGTTTGCCATTTCCTTCTCTAGCTCATTTTACAAATAGGAATTGAGGCAGAGTTAGATGACTTGCCCAGGGTCACACAGCTAGTAAGCATCTGAGGCTGGATTTGAACTCATGAAGATGAGTCTTCCTGATTCCAAGGCCAGTGCTTTATCCATTGTGCTACCTAATATTGTCTATTTTGCAGATGAGAAAACTGAGGCAAAGTAACTTTCTGATAGCCTGTCTGATAGATGTCAAAGGCAGGATTTAGACCCAATTTTCTCCTGATTCCAAGTCCAGCTTGGAATCTACCAAGTAGCTAGGTGGCACAGTGGATAGAGCATTTAGCCTGTAGGCAGGATGCTTTCAAATCCATCCTCAGATACTTAACTGTGTGACCCTAGATAAATCACTTAACCTGCCTCAGTTTCCTCAACTATAAAATGAGGGTAACAACCTTTCAGGCTGTTGTAATAGGATCAAATAAGATCATATTTGTAAAAGGCTTAGCACAGTGCCTGACACATAGTAGGTGCTATATAAATGCTTATTTCCTTTTCTCCACATCACCATGCTCCTCATTACAAAGTTACAATCAGACTCCTCCTCTGCTTGACCCTCTCCCTTCTGCCAAACCAGTGGCAGCCCAGGCTAGTTGCACATAATATGTACCCTGGAGGAAATAAGCAGCCCCTAGAGTTCTGGAGTGCTGGCCCTGAAAATTCTAAGCCTATAAAATGAAAGCAAATGTCACATTTCCATACAGTTGAGAATGAACCATGACATGTGCCAACCATCCATAAATCTGAGGGGAGCTGCTGAGATAAATTTAGCTGAAGAGCTGCTTGGAATTTTTCAAGGATTGTTTTCATTTTCAGAGGATGCTTTGCTCTCCCCAAACATTTTCAGGATGGGAAACCAGAAATGTAGCTGAAAAAGACAGGAAAGGCAAATTGGAATCGAATTAGCCCCAAATATCAGGTATTTGTGTTAGCTACTTATTGCACAGTCCATGAACCTATAAGGAGTCTTTGAAGGCTCTTACTTTCCTTCTTGGGAGGGAAAGGGGCAGTAGAGGACAATTCAATTTAATTCTCTGAACATTTATTAAATTGTCAACTTAGTATAAGGCATTGTGGGAGGTGCTAAGAACACAAAGATTTATTTGTTTGGTTGTTTGTTTAAATAGCCTCTACCCGCAATGAACTTACATTTGGGGGGGAAGGGTAAAGGGAATGGAAAGGATATTCCTAAAGCAAATGCCCATCCTGGAGGTGGACTCATGCATCAACACCTCACTGATTGGGTTTTGTGGACTGGAATTGCCTTCTAATGATTTATTAACTAAAGCTCTGAAGATGTACTCTGGTATATCCTATCAGGGTACAGCTTCTCCTGTGAAAGTACCACAGTTTCCATTCTCACAGGATCAATCAAGAAACATTTACTAAGTCCATGATGTGTGCCAAGCACTGTGCTAAGTGCTAGAGATATAAAAAGAGGCAAAAAACAATCCTTGTCCTCAAGAAACTTACAATCTAATGGAGGAGACAACATGCAAACAAATGTGTACAAACCAGTTACCTACAGGATAAATAGGAAATGATTAACAGAGGGAAGGCACTGGAATTAAGAGGGGTTGGGGAAGGCTTCCTGTAGAAGGTGGGAATTTAAAGGAAGCCAGGGAGGTCAGTAGTCAGAATGGAGTAGGGAGAGCATTCCAGCCAAGGGGTACAGTCAGAGAAAATGCCCAGAGCCAATAGAGATGGAGTCTCTTGTTCCTGGAACAGCCAAGAGGCCAGTGTCACTATACTGAAAGTACATGTCCAGGGGGTAAGGTGTAAGACTGGAAAGGTAGGAGAGGGCTAGGTTATGAAGGGTTTTGAATGCCAAATGGATAATTTTGTATTTGATCCTGAAACCAAGAGGAAGTCACTACAAGTGTGGTTGGGGGTAGTGGAGGTAAGAGGGGTGGAGTGTGTGTGTGTGTGTGTGTGTGTGTGTGTGTGTGTGTGAGTGTGTGTGTGTGTGTGTGTGTGTGTGACATGATAAACTTGTGCTTTAGGAAAGTCTTTTGTGGCTGAATGGAGGGTGGATTGGAATGGTGAGAGATATGGGCCAGGAAGACCCACCAGCAGTCTTTTGCAATAATCCAGGAATGAGGTGTTGAAAGAATGGTGGCATTGTAAGAGAGAGAAGGAGGTGTATTTGAGAGATGTTGCAAAAGTGAAATTGGTAGGCCTTGGATATGGGGGGGTAAGAGATAGTGGGGAATCCAGGATGACTACTAGGTTTTGAGCCTGAAGGACTAGGAGGGTGGTGTTACCTTCTACAGTAATAGGGAAGGTAAGAGTGGGAGAATGTGGGGGAAAGGGGGATGATGATGAGTTCTGCTTTGGAGATATTGAGTTTATTGAGCCTATTGATATTGAGATATTGAGTCTATTGGACATTTGGTCTGAGGCAGTTGAAAATGTGAGATTGGAGGTCCAAGAGAGAAAGAGGCAGGAAAGGTAGATAAGAGAATCATTAGCATAGAGATGGTAATTAAATCCCTAGGAGTTGATGAGATCATCAAAGTGAAAAAGTACTACTGAATAGAGAAGAGAAAAGGTCCCTGGACAGAACACTGAGGGATACCTATCATTAGAGGGCATGATTTGAAGGAAGAGCCAGCAAATAAGACAGAGGCTAGATAAGATAGATAGGAAAAAAAATAAACCCAGGAAATAGTGATTTCCCAAACTTAGACAAGAGAGTATCAAAGATGACAGAATGATCAACAGTATCAAGGGCCACAGAGAAGTAAAGGAGAATGAGGATAGAGAAAAGGTCATTGGATCTGGCAAATAAGAAATCATTAGTAACTTTGGAGAGAGCAGTTTTGGTGGATTTATAAGGTCAGAAGCTAGATTGTAAGAGGTTAAGAAAAGAGGGAGAGGAGAGAAAGTGAAGGCACCTATTGTACACTGTCTTTCTGAGTTTAGCTACAATGGGTAGAAGAAATAGAAGATGATAATGGGAGTGGAAGGATCAAGTGGGGATTTTTTCAGAATAGGGGAAACATGGCCCTGTTTGTAGGCTGTAGGAAATGAGCCAGAAGAGAGGGAGAGATTGAAATTAAATGAAAGAGTGGGAATGACAGAGAGGGCAATTTGTATGAGGAGACAGATGGAATGGGATCAGAATATCATAGCTGTAAAGGACCTTAAAAATGATCAAATCCAACCTCATTTGACAGATGATGAATCTGAGGCTTTCCTGGTTCCTTCCTACATTTCTAGTCTTCTTACATCTTGTTCCCTTCTGGGTATTACACTCCTCTGAACTTGTCCACCATGCCCCCCAGTAACCTCTTCATCCTGAAAGATCACTTCAGCCCTGGAATTCACATGTCTACCCTCTACCCTTGTGGCTTTTTTCTCTGATTCCATGGCTCTTCTTAGAACCTCCATTTAAGTACGGCACCCAGGCCACAAATCTCTTCATTTCTCACCAACCTGAAATCCTCCAGAATTCTCTGTCATGCCCAAGCCTAGTAAAATCTTAATCTCCTCCGTCACCCCTCTTTTCAGCTTCCTTTTGTGTTTGTACTCCCTCATTAGAATGTAAGCTCCTTGTGGTTACTTTTTTGCTTGTATTTTTATCCCCAGGGCTTCATACATTATCTAGCACAAAGAAAGCACTTAATAAATAGTTGTTGACTGCCTGATATCCTGACTACCTTCTGATACAGAGGTGATTGACTCAGTGTAAAGAATAAGACACACAATTTTTGGACATAGACGATGCAGGAATTTGTTTTGTTTGACTTTGCATATTTGTTATGAGTTTCATTTGGCTTTTTTTTGAGGGGGGGTGGCATGGAAAGGAAAGAAAATAGATATTTGTATATTCAAAAATAATTTTAAAAATAATTCCTTTATATGGGGGAATTTTTTTCTCCCTTTGACTTCCAGGCAGCAGTATAGCAAGGAAGATTTCTAAATCTCTCTTCCCTTCTACACCCAGGGTTTCAGCTTACAGAAGAAGCACATGATGGTTAGTTCATGGACCTCCACCCCCTGGTTGCCTTCTGCCTTTCTGTTTCCTTTTCTGAGTGAAGGTCAAAGACTATCAGTCCTAGGAATAGATGTTTACAATTTGGGGGGTTACATTGTGGATAATTCTGAGTTCTAGAGACCCCATATTCTAGAGTCCCCAATGCATTAAAGTTTCTAATGTCTAGAGTCAGTCATTGGCCTTCAGAGGACTTCCCTGGAACTGAAGGACTACAGCCACATGATGAAAATCATGAAATATAGGCTTTTCAATCCTCCTTGATATTACTGTGAATTTGGACAGTACATGTGAAAGGTGGATGGGAAACATTTATTCAGCAGTCCCACAGAGTGTTTTTTGCCATCTGAAGTAAGAATCTAGTAGATTACTTGAATGCTTTATACTTCTATACTTGTACATAGACTCTTGGAAGTCCTTAGCATCTTATTCATTTTGCATGAGTTGTCCTGACCTATGTCTTGCCACTGGATTCAGATGACTCAGCTGCCCCACTAGGAACCCAACTAAAGTTCCAGTTCGGCAATGCTGCTATTCCTTCCTTCCTTCCTTCTTTCTCCCTCTGCCACATGGGGAATCATACCCTTACAGGTGGGTACTTTGTCCAAAGGAATATAAATTTTGATTGCTTAAACCTCACAAGGTATCTCAGGGTTTTGAGGGCTAGATGTTTTTTATTTTCTTCCCTACTTATTTATTCTATCTTTAAAAAAAAAAAAACTGTGACAACTCTTTTGTTTCATGTAGTTTCATTTATGATTTTTTGAAATAGAGCTCTGGAGCACCAGGCTTTGATAAAGTCTATTGGGATTCAAATAGAGTTACTTGACCATGCCTTTAAACCCAAATCACTCTAGATCTCACTGGTTGGCCAATAACAGGTCCCAGCCCAAGCCTCCTTTGCTCATTGCTTGGGTTTTGATGGCTCAGAAGTAAGAAACCCTGAGGACCTTCCCTTCCCAGATTGATTCTTTTGAGCAGGCAAACTAGGTCATCTTTTGCCTCAATTCTTATCTAGTCTTAAATCACTGAATGGGTGTTGCCTCAAACTGAGACCTGGAAAAGACCCTAGCTTAAAAAGGCCAAGGTCTGCCACAGCATCTAGGGCCATCTCCAGTCTTCCGAACCTTATATCTTGCCACTGGACTCAGATGACTCTAGAGGACAAAGTGAGGCTGATGACTTTGCACAGCCCTGCCTCACCTAAATCCAATTCACTTGCAAACCAAGACACCACCCTCCTGATGTCATTGGTCCTCTTTGAGAACAAAGGATGAATAACAACATTTTGCATGGTAAGTAAATAAAGACACCTCTATCTTACATCCATAGTGTACAATGAGTACCTATATGGGAGGTAAGAAACTTGTAACCCACATTTGGGGAGCTAGGTGGCCCGTTTGATAGAAATATTGGCCCTGGAGTCAGGAAGACTCATCTTCCCGAGTTCAAATCTGGCCTCACACTTACTAGCTGTGGGATGCCGGACAAGTTACTTAACCCTGTTTGCCTCAGTTCTTCATCTGTAAAATGAGTTAGAGAAGGAAATGGCAAACCACTCCAAATCTTTGCCAAGAAAACTGAAATAGAGTCACAGAGAGTCAGACACAACTGAAATGACTCAACAACAATAACAAGATAGAAGCTCTACCAAAGCTTGAGTCAGATTTCCCATGAGCTTTAATTCAGGCTGGGGATAATGAGCCAAAGATATTCTGACACTCCTCCCTCCCTCCCCTCTTGGAGACAGATTCCAGGGTTAGCCTGGGATCCATGTAAGCTCAGGGTATTCTTGGGGGCAGGCAGCCAGGGTGCTATTCATGCACAAGTTGTTTCCCCCCACTGAATGTAAGCTCCCTGAGGGATTTTTGTCTTTGCATCCCCAACACCTAGTACAGTACCTGGCACATAGTAAATACTTAATACACGCTCACTGATTAATTAATTCCTTAGTTAACATACACTAAAGGAGGAGAGCAAAGAGGGCACGATTGAGTGGGCCCTTCAAAAAAAAAATCAGGAAACCTCCCTTTAGTATGGCAACAATCAGGTTCGAAACAAATTTTAATGAGACATTTTGTAGGTCTCAACTGTTTTCTGAGTTGAATAAAACAAAAGAAAACAAAATCCTAATAACTGTGCTTCTAATGCACAAATTCATGATGCCCCCAAAGATTTGTCTGCTGTGGAATAGGGACTAGACCCATTAATTCATTGGTATAGGGAACTTCCAGGTGATAAAGCTCTCTCTACCAATTTCCTAGAGTACTCAGAGGTTACAGGGCCATCTCTAGTCCTCCTGATCTATGTCTTGCCAGATGGCTCTGGAGGAGAAAGTGAGGCTGGTGATCTTGCACAGCCCTCCCTCACTCAAATCCAATAGATTTGCAAGTCAAGGCTTCTCTTCCCTGATGTCATGACCTTCTTCAAGAACGAAGGACAAACAACAACAACTTGACTTGTCCAGGATCACAGTCAGTATGTGTCAGAGTCAGGACTTGAATGCAGGTCTTCCTGGCATGGAACCATAAACCTCACTTCCTTTGCATGTACAGTTTTAATGTGGGCCTAGGGCACTGCTTTGATAGGATTCATTGTGGTACAAGGTCTAGAAATATGTTGCTCTTAGAATTAAGAAGATCTGACTTTGAATCCCTCTTTTAACATTTACTGTCAGACTTCAAAGTGCTATATAAATGTCAAAGTGCTAAAAAAAAAATCTGTTACTGTCATTTTTGACACTACACACTGGTAAATGCCATAATCTGATTCTTAGATTAAATTAGAGGTATTGTTGGATTTCTTTTGCCCAGTGCCCTTCCCCTTACCTCTGTGACAAACTGCCTCAGTTTCTTTTTTCCTTTCCTCAGTGGCTGCTTGGATCTTCTCCTGAGGATCTTGGCATGCAGATATTGTATCCGGTCCCTCTCTATGTCAGGGTAGAATGACCCAGACACTAGGATTTTAAATTGCATCAGGATGGAGGACAGCAGACCCAGCACAACCAACACCAGGATGATGACACTTAGTGGGATCCATGTTTTAGACATAAAGAGTTCAGGTTTGGGGATGCAGTTGGGCTCAAACAGGGATATATTAAAGTAAGAGTCACTTATGATGTCATGATTTCCCTTCACCTAAAACACAAGCAAAGTCAAGTTAAATCTATTAGCCTTTATTAAACACCTACTGTATGTCAGACCCTGTACTAAATTCTAGGTTTACAAAGAAAGGCAAAAACAGTCCCTGTTCTCAAGGAGCTCGAAGTCTAACAGGGGAGCCAACTTGTAAATAATTATGAACCAAAAGACATATACAGGATAATTTGAAGATAATATCAGAGGGGAAGCACTGGCATTGAGGAGACTTGGGAAAATGTTTTGCAGAAGGTAGGACTTTAGAAGGTAGGACCAGAAAGTGTGGGGGAGGGGGTGATTCTAGGCATGGAGAACAACTAGTGAAAATGTGTAGAGTTGGGAGATGAAGTGTGTAGGGGGGAACAGAAAGAGTCCAGTGTCACTAGATCGTAAAGTATGTGGAGGGAAATAAGACTGGAAAAGAAGAAATAAGCCGTGTTATGAAGGGCCAAAAAGTCAAAACAGGGTTTTAGTGGAGAGTGCTGAATTTAGAGTTAGGTTAGGCCTCAATTTGAATCCCACTTTTTGTTAATTAATATTAACTACAGGCAAGCCATTTAATCCTTCTGAGGCTCTGCTTCCTCATCTGTAAAATGGATTTAATAATACCTACAGTGCCTACCTTACAGTATTGTGAGAATAAAAAGATATAACATATATGTTATATCATATTTATGTTTACAGTACTTTTAAAATTTCAAAGCACTATATAAATATAACAATAAATGGGGTTTTATTAATCAAACCTAGTTTTGCTATCCATATCTCTTCTTTTTCTTTTTAGGCAATTGGGGTTAAGTGACTTGCCCAGGGTCATACAGGTAGTAAGTGTCAAGTGTTTGGTTTGAGGCCGGATTTGAACTCAGGTCTTCCTGACTTCAGGGCTGGTGCTCTATCCGTTGTGCCACCTACCTGCCCCCATCTCTTCTTTTTCAATGCTGCAATTTCATACAGTTCTGCCTTTCTTAGCTTTTACATATTTCTCATGCTTAGTTAAAAACTTGATCCAAGAAGAAGAGATTTTTCTCATGTGAGTCTAATTCCAATAAAAGATGGGGTTATATTCTATGTAAGCCATCCTTTTGGAACCAGCCTTTCCATCCTGACAGGAGCATTCTAGTCTGATATAAATGATAAGAGACTAAAAACTCTTTTGAAACAACATTCTGTGACCACAGACCATGTTTATTGCTAGACATTAAAAGGTGCTCCACAACAGAAACTACTTTTCTTCCACATTTTTTTTGGAGGTCTTTAAAAATAGAATAATGTTTTGTTTCTGGGGTGTATTCTGGGCTAGGAATATTCGCCTTCCTGATTGAAGCAAAAAAAAAAATGGATGAAATAGGTACCATCCCAAGGTCAATGTGAACTGCTTAAGATTGACCCAGAATTAAGGAATTGACATTGATAGTCATGTAATGAAGCCAATAAGGATAGCCAGGTTTGTTGATTCAGCTTTCTCTCCTGACCTAGGAAAGTCATTTAATCTCCCTGTGGATTAGTTTTCTCATTTGGAAAACAGGAACTAATGGACCAGATCCTACCCACGAATAACATATTCTAGTTTAAATGAGGTACCTTGGGGCTTGAGAATTAATCTCAGGGTAGTGTGATATTTAGTGAGATCCTGGATTACTATCCCAGCACCTCAACACTCTTGTGACCATAGACCTAGAGTGCTATCCCGATCATACCCAGGGATCAATTTATTCTCCTTCCCCATGTTTAGACATAATGGAGACACTGCAGGACCATAGAAATGTGGTAGAGAGGATTACTAGCTTGTTGTCTAGGGAAGAAAGCAAAGGAAACAATTTTAGGGGCCTATCCCTAGCTAACAAATTAAAAATGAACCTCTGCAACTGAATAGGTAAATTTAGTTCTCCTGAGCAAATGTGCTGATTCTTTCCTACTATTGAAATTGCCAAAACACTCCTACTTAATGGCTGATGAGAAATCCTGCAATAACAAACCAGCATGTGGCCAATTTCGTGGTAGTGCAGTAGGCATTTCATCAAGGCATCTAAGCAGGGATCTGAGGGTTGGGAAGTTACGTTATAAATGCAGTGATTAAACAGTTTTGTATTTAACTCTTTCAAGAAGGCAGAATGATTCGTCAAATCTTCCTCAGTCACTATCCTAGTTTAGACCATCGTTTTTCACTCTTGGGCCAATGGGGCAGGCTTCTAGCTTGTCTCACTGACTCAGATCTGTCTCCACTTCAATCCATCCTACAGACCTGGGACATTTCATCTTTCAGAAGCATAGTGTGGATGGTGTCCTTAGCGTGGTGTCCTTGGGCAAGTCACTTTCCCTATTGGGGCCTTCATTTTCTCGTCTGTAAAATGAGGGGGGTTGAACTAGATGACCTCTGAGGTTTTTTTTCCGAACTTTCAGCCTATGATCCTATTAATTGTTTTTAGCCAACCAACATGCTTGAAAAATCTAAGGGACCTGCTCACATAGACCATGTGAACAAACCACTCAAATAATAGATTCAGACATTTGGCACCTATGGAGAATCCAATGGCAAAATAAAAATAATTTTAACAAGCTCTGTCTTGCTACCCCATTGGGAAATGTCCCATTTCCCAATTATTTCCATTCTCTGCCCCCTCGTTGTCACTCCCTATCATTCCCTGTCCTATCTTGTTTATCCTCTGACCTGCTTTATAATGCCTTGCCTTCTCACTCCTCCTTGCATTGAAGTCTTGAAACCTTTTAGACTTTGAGCTCCCACCTTTTCTATTTTCTTTCTGTATCCATCAGGGAGTGTGTGTGTGTGTGTGTGTGTGTGTGTGTGTGTGTGGGGGGGGGGGGGGGGGGGGAGAGAGAGTGAGTGTTAGTTTGTATGTACTTTGGGGGTAAGGAAAACATTAACCACCAATGGAAAATATCACTGGATTCATAAACATTCCTGAATTTCACTAATTTAGCAAACAATAAATGAATCTGGTCATAGGCTGAAAAATGTAGGAGAGAATAATAGAAATGGTACTTTATCTCTCATTTTCAATTCTATTATGTAGGCTAGTATCTATATTAATCTGCTGTATAGCAAGCATTTTAAAGAGCATTAGATTTTTCTTGCTTAAATCCAAACAGTCCCTCCTCGCAGATTCATTCCTTACTGCTCAGCAGGTACATTTTGCTTGTTCTCTCATTTACTTAGCTTTTCAAGCTGATTACACTGAACACCACCCCACCCCCTTTCCCAGGCCCAAGGAATTAGTTAATTATAAGGCACCCCAGGGCTCCAGGTTCTTAGAGTAATCTCTAGGAATGACAGAGCCCCTGTTTCAACTTGCAACTAACAAAATAAAAATTCAAAAGAATTTAAAATAGGTGTATTTGGTCTGGCAAAAAATAAGACTCCTCTCTTACCTATTCTACTTCTATCTCCCTTTCCTCTTTTAATTTTGTTCCCTCTTCCCTTCCTTCCTTCCTTCCTTCTTTCCTTCCTTTCTTTCTTTTTCTTTTTCTTTCTTTCTTTCTTTCTTTCTTTCTTTCTTTCTTTCTTTCTTTCTTTCTTTCTTTCTTTCTTTCTCTCTCTCTCTTTCTCTCTTTCTTTCTTTCTTTCATTCTTTCCCACTCTTCTCACTATTCTTTCTTTTTCTTCTTTCTCCTTTCCATTCGCATGGTTTTAATGGATCCTCTCTCCAAAGAAACCATGTGGAATTTCCCTTTCCCATGTGGGGTCCCAAAATTTTACTCCTAGGTTTAAGGTACTGTGTGGTTCTGCAAACCATAGCTCATGAATTCTCACCTTTATATGTACTTTTACTAAAACAACCAGAAGGTACATTGAGTTCAAAGCAAAGGCAATTGAGAAGTAGCATAATAGTAATAGTAACAATAGAACATTTTCTACCATGGGATTTGAACCCAGCTTCTCTAACTCCAAATCCCGTGTTTCCTCCAACATACTATACTGCCTCTAAATACAACTCAGAAGTCAAATGCTATCCAAAAGGAAAATTCCATCTCCTGTTTGAAAAGTGAAAGATAATCTACTTCCAAATTGATCGCAGAATCACAGATTTGATTTGGAAGGGCCTTGGCACAAACTTCTCATTATTTCATCTAAGCTTCCTCCTTTTAGATCACAGGATTATAAATCTAGAGTTGCAAGGGGCTTCAGAGGTCACTTTGTTCAATCACTTCATTTTAGAAATGAGGAAACTGAGGCACAGAGAGGTTAACTGACTTACCCAAATAGTTATTGTTTATTATTCCTGACCACTTTACTTACAAACTGTAAACTGCTAACTGTGTGATCATAGACAGGTCACTTAAACTCTAGCCTGAGTTTCCTTATCTGTAAAATGAACATTGATCAATCAGTCAACAAGTGTTTATTAAGCTACTACTACCTACACTGGAGATATAAGTACAAAGAATGAAACAATCTCTACTCACTATTTGGATGGGGAAGATAACAAGGACCTATGAAATATATATGCAGCATAAATACAAAATGAATAAACTCAAATATATACAGAGTAGCTAAATGCAAGGTTGTTTAGGAAGGAGAACTCTAGTGGTTCAAGTATCAGGCAAGTCTTCATGCAGAAGATGATTCTCAAGTCATGTCGTAAGGGAAGAAAAGTAAGGCAGAGGTAAAGTAGTACATTCTAGGCATGTACCCTTAACCTTCCTCAGCCTCAGTTTCTTCATCTACAAAATGGGGATAATAATAGCATCTACTTCTCAACGTTGTGTAAAGATAAAATGAGATAACATTTTTAAAGCATTTAGCAAACCTTAAAACACTATATGAATGCTAAGCTATAATTATTATTATATCCTATAGAGATGTGTTACTACCATTAATAAGAATCTATTCATTAGAATTCCTTCTTACAATGATAGGTACAATTATCATCTGAAACCCTGGAAGGACTTAACTTGAGAACTTGTTTATTTGTTTGTTTGTTTTAATAAAAATGGTGTGTGTTTTTTTTTAAAGGAAACTAATTTAAAGGAGCTGTGACTGGTCTAAAGTCACACAAAGCTAGCTCAAAACCTAAGAGTCCTTGTATTCTCATTCCCTATCATTTCTCTATATCTCTGGGTCCAAAGTAGTAAGAATGTAACTTAGTGGAAAGCACATTAGGTCTAGGCTCTGAGGATCTGGATTCAAATGTGGCCTCTCTTACTATCTGGGCAAGCCACTTATTTCCCTTCCCTTCAGTTTCCTCATCCGTAAAACAAAATGGTTGTACTAGATGGCCTCTGAGACCCCTTCCAGTTCTTTTCTTCTTTCTTTCTTCTTTTTTTTTTTTTTTTGCTGAGGCAATTGGGGTTGACTTGTCCAGGGTCACATAGCTAGTACGTGTCAAGTGTCTGAGGCCACATTTGAACTCAGGTCTTCCTGACTCCAAGGCTAGAGCTCTATCCACTGCACCACCTAGCTGCCCCCCCTTTCAGTTCTAAATTTATGATCCTATGATCCTCACTTACCTCATTGTACAGTTTCAAGTGAACCTCCATTCCTGGCAAGTTTTGGAGATGTTTGTTTACTGAAGAAATGAGCTGATACAGTCCATAATCCATGGCTGCAAACATGGCCCAGACATAGAGATTAGTCAGTATGGGGAGGAAAAACAGTCCAAGGCTTCTCTTCTCCTTAGGAGCCAAGCAGATGGAAGGAATAATAATGTATTTTTCTCTTTCCCGCTTACTAAGTGGAAGGACACAGGGCCTTTTGTGATGCCTCTCACTTTCATCAAACTGAATGAAATGCCTGGTGATGTAGATGTTTTCAAATCTACAGTTATGAGAGCCCAAGAAGCGTTTCATGAAGAGTCCTGTGCTGAGTAGGACTAGAGCAAACCCAGTGATAGTCAATAGCCCTTGGCCCAGAGAAGACGCCACCTCTGTGACAGTGGTTACATGATCTATCACACTTAGGATTTCTCGTTTGGTGTCATTTAGCTTAATCTCAAAGGCTTTGCTGGGACTTAGAATAGACATGGCCAAAGTGTGATTCCAAGAGACAATCTCTTCAAACAGATTGATATCTGTGACAAGACTATAAAGCCATTGAATTGCTTCAATGTATTTGTTTAAGAGAGGGAAATGGATAGCAAAGCATTTGATACTGAGGTTGCAGGTTATCCCTTCCAGCAGGCCTTTCAGATTATGGAAGATATTTTTCACATGGCCAAATGTCACGATCCCTGTTCCAGCAGCAATCAGAGCATTTCTGCCTTCACGTAGTCCACAGGAGAGAAAGAAGAGAATAGCAAAGCAGCGTATATGCTTGGACCAACACAGTAGGATTGACATAATAATCCAGAAAGGAATGAAGAAGATTGCCGAGGATGACAGGAACCAATACAAGCCAAGATATAACAGCACAGTTGAGATGAAACCAACCACACAGCACACTCCAAAATGCTGCAACAAACCCTTCCATCCAGTGCTCCTTGGAGACAAATAAAATCCCCAAAGACATAAGAAGACTTCAATAACTGAGGCCCTGACATTCATGCTGCTCATCATGGTGTTGTCACTGATGTGCCAGCTGGAAGTAAGAGGGAACAAAGGTCATCAGTTGCTTTTGATTGTAGGCTGCGGCTGTAGCGTTTTTATACTTAACATCCCCAACATCCAGAATGATCTTAACATCCCTGACATCCCCAACCAAGCAATCCTCCAGCCTCTTCATGACTATTTCCAATGTTTATCCATCATGGTTATTGCTGCCAGTTCAATTTTATTCAGTTAGAATCAATTTAGCAAATATTTATTTAATCACAGACTATGTACAAGATAAGGAGGTATTATTGCATGGAAGAGACAAGACTGGCCTAGGAGTCAGAAAAATCTGGGTTCAAGTCCCATCTCTGACGAATATACTAGCCACATGAAGAGTCAGAGTTAAATAAGTCATTTAATGTCTCAGTTCTATAGGTAATGCTTTATAATAATAAGCTAAAGAATAATTTGCTTTGATAGAGGAAGTTTCCTCATAGGGAGTTTCTTACACCAATGAAATCACAAATTTGTACCAAAAAATGTTCAAGGCACTATTCTAGGCATTAGGGAAACAAAATAAAAACAAAACAAAACAAAACAAAACAGTGGCCTTCCCCAAGGAATTTACATTCTGTTAAGTGGGAGGAAGTAGAGATTACATGTACATAAATACTAAGTACATAGAAAATAACTTCAAGAAGGAGACAATGTTTGTAATTGAGAGGTTAAACACAGATGCTAGGCCTGAGCTGTGCTTTGAAGAAAACTAGGGATTCCAAGAGCAGGCGGTAAGGAGGGTGTGCATTCTAGGAATAGGAAACCACCTCTAAAAGGCATAGAGTGATCAATTGGGCAATGACTAAAGAAATTCTGGTATGTAAATGTAATTTAATATTACATGAAATAAGAAACAACAAATGTGAAAACTACAGAGAAATATGGGAAGACTTAAATGTACTGATGAGAGTGAAGTATGTGCCAGGCACTATGCTAAGCGCTTTACAAATACTATCTCATTTGATCCTCACAACAATCCTGGGAGGTAGGTGATATTATTTTCTCCTTTTTACAACTGAGAAAACTGAGGCACACAAACTATGTGACTTGCCCATGGTTACACAGCTAGGAAGTATCAGAAATTGAACTCAGGACTTTCTGAGTCCAGGCCCAGAGCTCTATCCATTGTACCTGACTCCAGGAAAAAACAATGACTACAATGCAAACAGAAGAAAAAAATGAAACAAGAATGTTGAATAATTATAATAGTAAAACTTAATCCTGGAGAGGTATTGGTAAAATATACCATCCTTGCTGATGTGGAAGATCATGGATGTGGGCTATTACATATACATATTATTGTGTTTGTTGGGATTGTTCATTTTTTTTCCTTTTTAATTTTTGTTGCAAGAGATAGCCTGGCAAATAAGGGAGAGGGAGTGAAGTATCCAGAAATGAAGATAAAAACAAAAGATAGTAATAAAAATAAGAATGGGAAGGTACAATGTCATATATGAGAGTATATAGCAGGACAATTGAACTAGATTAGAGAGTGTGAGGAAGATAATGTGAAATAAAACAGGAAAAATGGGAACCAAATCATAGACGACTTTAAATTTCAGCTTGAGGATTTTATATTTTTGTCTTAGAAGATATAGGGAGGCAATTGATACTTGTCCATGATGTTTTAGCCAATACTCCTGTAATGGGTAAGGATGTTGGAGGGGATGGTCTCTGAATCCTTCCCAAATGCATAATTAATGATGATGTTGATAATGATGATAACAAAAATAATAGCTATCATTTAGATAGTGTTTCAAGGTTTGCAAAGTACTTTACATATTTTATCTCTTTTGATCCTCACAACAATCTGGTAAGGTAGGTGCTAATATAATTCCCATTTCCCAGGTGAGGAAACTGAGGAGGAGCACAGTTAAATGACTTGTTCAGAATTACATAGCAAATTCCATGTCTAAGACAGGATTTGAACTCAGGTCTTTCTGACTCCAAGTTGAGTGTTCTAGCCCCCGCACTCCCTAGCTATGATTCTAAACTATAAGAGCTGTGACAAACCCAAGGTGGGTTGCAAAGATGAATTTTCCATATTGAGCATGATTTTGTCTTTGATAGTGTTCCAGTTGGGTAGTCTATCCATTCATATGGAAAATCATATAAAGAGTATCTAAGCACAAATGTGGGATTTGGATCATGGCCATTTTAGCTGTTCCACCTAACTAACTTGTCTCCTCCTTTTACCTTCCCCTCCCCCAGACTGCTGCAGTGACCTCCTGAGAATGCTACAAGGAAAACATGAACCTTTCTGTCATTGAGTCTCTACTGTCTTTTCCTGGAGCTGGAATATGCATTATGAATGTGCTCTGGGCTGCTGCCATTCTGTCAGTCAGGCAGATTTGGTTTTGTGGTGCATTTAAATAGCCTTGGGGCTAATTTGGAGCAGAACAAAATAAATTGTGAGATTATTCTCTCTAGATTGACACTGAAAATATCTAATGAGAAATGTACCATATGTACCAGTATTTTAATGAGGGTTTTGATCAATTTTTAAATGCTCTTAAATAAATCTCATTTCACATCAAATCTGGTGGAGCTGGATTTTACACAAAGATTCTGACTTCTTCGGCCAGAGTGTGGGGATGGGGTGGGGCAGGGAGAAGAATCTAGTCAGCAGCTGGAGGGAATAAACTGTTAACCTTCAGGGTGAGATCCTAATTTTTTTCTCAATATGCTCAGGCTGAATGAGAATAATGAGGAAAGCAGTAAGAAATACGAAAAAGTTTTAGGAGCAATTGTGTAGAAGCTTACCTAAGAATATCTGCATAGGACCAGATATTCCAGCTGTGTTACACTGAATAGAAGTTTCATTTCATTAGCTATTAAGCTCATGGACTGTGCAAGGCACTATGCTAGGCACTGAATTTGGAAGGAAAAAAAAAGGACCCTGACCTTAAAAAGTTTAGAATCTACTGGGATCTACTTCACAACATGTGGCCTGTGAGCTGCCTATGGCCTGCCAAAGGATTTCTGGCAGCTCTGGAAAAAAGTTGGGTTGCCACTGCGCACTCACCTGTTTGTCACATGACCTGTGACCACCAACCATCATTGGTCTATCTCTAGTCTGACCTATCTGAGGCCCAAAGAAGTTTAGCTTATTTTAATTTTGGCCCCTACCTACTGCCGAATTGTGCAGGTCTGGTACAGATTATACTCAGATAAGTAAATATAAGGTAATCTAATGACAGGCTATTAACACCTGGGAGAACTAAGGAAAGCACCAGTTGGTGGTACCTGAGTTGAGGCATGAGGAAAGATAAAGACTCTGAGAGCAGGACACGAGGGAATACACTCCAGACAGCTTGTACAAATATATGGAGGCTGGAGATGTCATACAAAATATGAGTTCAGTTTGGCTGCAATTTAGAATATGTAAAGGAGAGAAATGTGATCTAAAATCCCCTCATATACTCAGTTCTGAATTATAGGAACTGCTAATGGCCAGTTACCAACCTTGGCTTTTAGCTTGTCATGCTAACAAACTCAGTAAGGGAAGCAGCATTGAAACAATAAAACATTTAATTGGGGGCAAAAAGTAAACAGTGATTAACGAGAATTTACACACATTCTGAAATGAGTCCAAAGTTTGTCCCTTTCTCTCTCCCACCCTCCAGACTATCTTGGGAGCTAAGCTTCTCCAAGAGTCGTCATGTGTTGACAGGGGAGGCACACAGCCAAAGCAGATACCTAGATGGCCTTGCTGCTGAAGAGTCCAGCAAAGGGCTGAGGCCGTGTCTAGAATTTCCTGCTTACAGCCTTTTTCTCCTTATATCGCTCTTGGTCATGCCATCTCCATTTAGGTCTTGCTGTCTCTTCTTTCAGGTGCTACTCATAGACACAATTATATGGTATAATGAAGTAACATCAAACTCAACTAGAAACAGATCACTACAGGCTGTACATTTACTTAAAAAAAACACAAATTAACATTACATTGTATTGCATTTTTATTCATTTTGTTAAACATTTCCTAGTTACATTTTAATCTGATTCTTGCTCCAAGGGAGTTTCATGGTTTAACACTTCGAATGTATGGCAGAATGCCAGACCAGACTTGGAGTCAGGAAGACCTGATGGCACATTTTGTATCAGTCACTTACTAGCTGTGTGACTCTGGGCAGGTCACTTAACCTCTCTCAGTGTCAGTATCTTCATTTGTAAAATGGGGAATAATAATAGATCTACTCCACAAGGTTATTGTGAGGACCAAATGAGATTATACACACACATATGATATATAATAATTTCTATGTGTATATAAATTTATATAGTGCTTTCCAAATCTTTAAGTGTTACATAAATGTTAGAGGGGTGACATAATCAGACCTATGTTTTAGGAAAATCATTTAGCTATCATTGTTATCACTGTAGTTTACCCAGCTACTCCTAGGCTCTGATTAACTTCCCAGATTGTCCATCTGTTTTGCCTGGTCAAAAACTCCAGAAGACTCTTCCATCATTCAGACAGTCAGCTGATAAACATTTACTACTATATACCAGGCACTGAGCTAAGGTCTGTGGATATGAAAAGAGGGAAAAAACCCATTCCTGTTCTGAAGAAACTCACGCTCTGATGGGGGAAACAACAAGCCAACAAACATATATGAACAAGCTAAATATAGGATAAATCAGAAATAATTAAGAGAGGGAAAAGCACTAGAATTGAGAGGAGTTGAGAACAGCTTCATATAGAAGATGACATTTTAATCAGGACTTGAAGGAAGTCTCAGAATCCAGCAGGCAGAGAGATGAGGAGGGAGATCCAATCATGGAGGACAACCAGAGAAAATGCCTGGAGACTAGAAATGGAATAACTTGTTTGTGGAACAGCAAGGGGGGCAGTGTCATTGAGTCAAAGAGTACTTGAAGGGGAATAAGATGTAAGAAGACAGGAAAGGTAGGCAGGAACAAGTTTATACCAAACAGGATTTTGCATTTGATTTTGGAGGTGATAGCAAGCCACTGAAGTTTATTGAG